TTGCTTCTTTTCCTAGGGGCAAATTTACCGGCTTTTAAGTCTAATTTTTTAATAACTTGTAATTCATCATTATTGTTTACACATATTCTTCGTTTTAACTGTAACTTCAAAACAAGTGGGTTTCAAAGTAAAATATATAAAATCACTAAACTGATATATATGTAAAAAATTATAAAATTTCTTCGAAGGTTTTTCAATATCACTATAATCTTTTGAATTAAAATCTTTCAAAATATAAAAAGATTTGGGTGAGGCATTAACTATATGCAATGTATTATATATTTCTTATAGACTTCCTCTCCAATAACTATTGAAATTTCAACTGCTTTATAATTTTAATTTTTTTCATTAAAAATAATATCACAACTTATGATTAATTTCTTAGTTATAGGATCATAAAATATAGAACCTTTTATTTCATTACTATATCTCATAAATATGCATTTAGTACTTTTGTCATCAAGTTTACTTTCTTTTCTCTATAGAAACATAAACAAAAACAACATAACAAAATGCCTTTTAAGTGACTTACATTTGGCTTTTGCTCCAACCATACTTCATAGGATGTTTTTAGTTATATTATCTTAAGTAGGAAAGTGATTTAATAAATATATTATTGTACTCATAGTTTCTACCTAAATTTTTTTTAGTACTATTTTTTCTTTAAGCATACATCTGAATCACAACTCATATCTTTCACTCTACTATTCTATTTTATTGAGGGTTATAACTTGTAATTAGTTCTATATGAATATTTGTATTTTTATAATAAAAAAAATAATAAATAAAGTGAATTCACCCCCTCTATTAGTATGGTGAGTTTTAATAAAATAATCAATTTATTTTTCTATATATGTTTTATTTTTTTAAAACAAAAAAGGTATTAGCTTTTTTTTCAAAAAATATACTCACATCGTTCTTATGCAATCATTTATAAATAATAAAAAAATATTTACTTCTACCATGTGAGACAATCCTGCATAGGTCTATAGATATTTATATGCAAAAGTTTCAACTATTCTTTAACTCTTTAAGAATGACTTATTTATTATTTTTCAAAAACATAAGATTCACAAACAATATCTTTATTCTTAATTTTAAGTAAAACAACTATCATATTCTTCTGATTTAAAAAATCTAGTCAAACCATAATTTAGATAGCTATATTTTTTATGTTATAATATTGATTCATCAACAACAATAGTAGTGAATGCATATAAGGAGAAATTTGAAAATAATAAAAAAATTATTTTATTTTTTATCATACTCATAATTGTTATCTTTTTTTATTATAAATCAAATATTTTCATCATAAAAAATAACACAATATTCTTTTCTCATCATTTACCCACCTTATATTAATAATATTTTATTTTAAATCAAAAATAAATATCACATCATTCATAAATTTTTTTTATCAAATTTGATGTTCATGTTCATTTTTCTTCCACTTGAACCTTACTATCATTTCTCATCTATACTATTGATCTAGTTAAATTATTAAGCATTCAAAATAAATTTGTCCCTTATACCATTACTAAATCTACATTTCAAAAATAAACAAATCTAGAATATTCTTTATCAAATGTCATAAAAAAATATTTTTTATTTTTATGATAATTTACTTATTTTTGTTCCAATAATCTTTTTTAAGATAACCATATTTTTTTATATTGAATGCAAAAAAGGAACATTTAGATTTGTATCTTTGTATCAACAATCTTTTTGTTTTTTTTTTTTTGCAACAAAAATATTGATGAGTTTCTTTATTATCTTCGTTAAAGTTCCTCTAACTCTCATTTAATCGATTTCATCCTTTGTCACGAGCACCAAATCATATGTTACCTTTACTATTTTGACCACTTCATTGAGATCTAATTTATAAATTTTATTTTTTGTCCTACTTCTGACATATCTTCATTTGGAAAGTATGTTTAAAAGTTTCATCTGAAAATCTATTCACTTTTTTTTTCATGAACTAAAAATAAACCACTTAATTCATCAATAGATAATATGCTTATATCTTTAGCTTATTCTAAAGCAGTAGAAGATAAACTCCTTAAAACTTTTTCTACTATTATTTGATCTTATAGGTTTAAGACCTTATTTGATTCATAATACAAGAGATTTTTGAGAAAATCTCAGTGATAGATTTAGAAATTTTCATTATAAAAGTTTTGAATTGACACCAAAGAATTTGAAGCCTTAAAAGTTTTTATCTTATCGATACCTTCAAATACATCTTTTAATATTTTTCAAGCTTCCATTAATATTGATGCTAACATGATTCAAAAAAATAAGGACTCACCTATTACTTGTTATAGCATATAGAGAGAGCTTTTGTATCTTTCATTCTAATATTTTTTAAGTTTTTGTTGATATTGATGCGAAGATGATTCAGAAAAATAGAGACTCGTCTATTGTTTATTGTAACATGTAGAGAGCTCATATGTTATTATTTATTTAACATTTTTAATCTTTAATATATTATTTTTTTTATTAAATTTAATAATTCTTATAAAATAAATATAGTTCTTATTTTAACAATTCAAAATTAATAATTTTCACTTTTTAAAAGAAGAAGAAGAAGAAGAAGAGGTGAAGGATGAGAAAAAGAAGGAAGAAGAGGAAAAGGAAAGAGGAGGCAAAAAAGAAGAGGAGGAAGAAGATGGTATTAATATCTATTTATAAATTAAAAGAAGTTGTATATAATAATGAGGAGTTACAAATATTCTTAATAGTTTAAAATATTAAAAATAAATAAAATAAGATTATAAATAGTAAAAGAAGAGCCGATGGTAACTCACAAGTTTAACATATATTAAGTTAAACATTATTATAATTTTAAAACTCAAATTTATAAATTGTGGGTCACACTCAAATATATATCATTTGACTCTCTCAATATTTACCAATGCCAGACTATTCTCTTCATCCTCTTTTTCAATCTCTTCTCACATATAAATATCTTCTAATATTCTTTCCTTATTCATGTGCAGCTAAATTGTCTCCTTCTTACTTATAATAAGAATAGATGGTGCAGTCAACTTTTATCTATAATCTTAGCTTGGTTGGTGA